GGAAGGAGGGGTGAACAGGCAGAGCACAGTGTATTTTTAAGGCAATAGAAGTGTTCTCTGTGATACTTTGCATGTCACACATCTGATTTATCAATGCATATCATGATTCATATGCATATGTATAATGCATATTACTATACATTTTAAAAAACCCATAGAATATGCAGCACCCAGAGTGAAGTCTAATGTAGGCCGTGGGCTTTGTAGTGATATGCTGTTGTAGATTCACTGCGAAAAGCAAATGTAGCACTCTAGGTGGGGATGTTGGCAATGGGGGAGGCTGTGCATCCGTAGGGCTAGAGGATATATGGGAACATTCTACTTCCTGCTCGGTTTTGTTGTGACCCTAAAACTACTGTGAAACATGGTACCTAACATTTTAAAAGTAGCTTATCCGATGGAAAAATGGAGTCAGATAGTGACTCAATCATATTAAAACTAACTTCCAATTAATTAAAGACCTAAATGAGGAAAGCTAAAATCATAAATCTAATGGAAGAAAATATTAGAGAATATCTATATTTCCAATTTTAGGAGGCAAGATCATAAAAATGCAAACCGGAGGAGAAAAATCAATGACTTTGGCTAGATAATGATTTCTGTTAAATGAAGACTTCTCAAGATTTATCTGTAGGCAACAGAAAGGAGTAAATATTTGTAAATTATGGGATATTCACATCTAGAAAACCCTTTGAATCATCAAGGGAAAGATAGGAAAATCCTCTAGCAAATATGTGAGCAGACAGTTTACAGAAAGCAGAGCCTGATAAATTTATGAAAAGATGTTCATATTTGCTGGCGTTAAACTAAAACAGGAAGCTGTTTCTTTCCAACCATTAGGCAGAACTATTAGAAAATATGGTAGTAACAGGTGGGGCCAAATATGGAGTGAATATATGTGAACAAACTCCAAACACTTATGCATAGCTAATAGAATAAAAGTTAGATATAGCCATTCTGTCAGAGAACCTGGCAGTGCTTTGTGAGACTAATATTTATACCTACAACCCAACAAACCAGCAATCCTAACTCCTTGATTTGTGTTGCTGAGAAAATCTGGTTGCAAGTAAAGCAGTGTGAGATTCCTCCTTGCACCAATATTTCTGGAAGCAAAGAGCTGAGAGGCTGCTAAGTGCTTTTCACTAAGAGAATGAACAAATAAAATATGCATGATGAATATAAGGGAATACAAGGTCGCAATCAGAAACCATAAATTACTTTCACATGAAGTGACATTGACATAGCTCAAAAATCATGAGCTCAAAACGACGAGTGAGAAAAAATAAAACTGCAAAACTATTCTAAATAATTTGAAGTAAATATATAGTTCATGGACTATGGAATCAAAACATAAGTTTGTTTTGGTGCTAAAAAAAAAAAGTTTGAAATCTGTGCACAGAGAGGGTATTAAGAACTTTGTGTAAAATGAGTTTTATGTCCATATTACCAAAAGTAATATATATACAAATTCAATGCCGTCCCAATCAAAATCCTAAAAACATTTCTCAGAAATACAAAATAAAATACAAAAGTTCATCTGGAAACTTAAGAGACCACAAATAGCTAAAACTGTCCTGAAGAATAAAAATCAAGTTGGAGGAATCACAATTCCAGACCTCAAGACATATTACAGAGCAGCGGTCATCAAAATAGTCTGGTACTGGTACAGAAATAAAGAAGATCAGTGGAACAGAATAGATACATCAGACCGGAGCTCACCCATGTACAGCCAACTCATCTTTGACAAGAGAACTGAAAGTAATCCAGAGGGAAAGCCTGGTCTCTTCAACAAAAGCTGTTGGCAGTGTTGGATAGCAGCTTGCATAAGTAAGAAGCAAGACCCAACCTCTTACTTTATGCAAAAACCAGCTCTAAATGGATAAAGGACCTAAATCTGCATCCAGAAACCATCAAACTATTAGAGGAAAACACAGGAAGCACTCTGGAAGATATAAGCATTGGGAAAGACTTCTTCAGAAAGGCACTAAAAGCATAGGCAGTCAAAGACAAAATAAAAAAATGGATTACATCAAACTAAAAAGCTTCCGTACAGCAAAGGAAACCATCAACAGAGAAGCAACCAACAAAATGGTGGAAAACCTTTGTGCACCATACAACTAATAGAGGAATTAATATCAAGGATATACAAAGAGCTTCAGAAAGTCAAGGACATGAATAACCATGAAGAAATGGGTGAAGGAAATGAACAGACATTTTTTAAAAACACAAATTCAAATGGATAATAGACATACGGAAAAAAATGCTCAGGCTCTGTAGCTCTAAGGGAAATACAGATGAAAACTACACTGAGGTTCCACCTAACTCCAGTGAGATTGGCCTACATTCAGAAATCCAGTAACACCTGCTGGCATGGATGTGGGAAGAAAGGCACCCTCCTTCACTGTTGGTGAAACTGTAGGTTGGTACAGCCACTGTGGAAGTCAAAATGGAAAGAGCTAAGAAGATTGAAAATTAATCTGTGCTATGACCAAGCTATCCCACTGCTGGGAATATATCCAAAGGAAATTAAATCTGCATATGAGAAAGGAATCTGTAATCCTATAGTTACAGCAACACAATCTATAATAGCAAAGACAGACTATTCAGATGCCCACTGAAAGAGGAATGGATAAAGAAACTGTGGTTCATCTATTCTATAGAATACTCTACTCAGCCATTAAAATGAATGAAATTCTACAATTTGCAAACAAGTGGTTTCAACTAGAGACCACTATGCCCACTGAAATAAGCCAATCCCCAAAGGACAAGTATCATATATTCTCTCTGATATAAGGCAACCTTCATGTAAAATGCAAAATTAATAAACAAATAGATAAATATGCATGCATATATAATCATCTAGAGGGATTATATAATATAGACTATCATATCAAGATGTGAAGATACAATGCAATGTGCATCTCTACTTTAAAATCAATGATACACTCCCAATGAAATTGTTAAATATATCCTGACAATAGGATGCTGGACTCTCTGCCATTGTCCTTACCTACAATGTCAGGATACAATTAAATAGCAGAATGATGGACTTGTGAATGTTTTTAAAGGACTATACTATTGTAATAATATAGGGGAAATCAGGAGGGGAGGGACTTGGGGAAGAAGGAGGGGAAATCCCTGAGCCTATGGAACTGTATCATTTAAAAAATTTTTTAAAAGAGGATTATGAAAAAAGTATACATGATGTTAAAACATTTACATCTGGATGTTAATACATTTTACATGATGTTAAAAAATTTACATCTTTATTCCATTTTCCATGAAGTTTCTGAAGTAGCTACAAACACTCAGGACATATGTTAAATATGTAAGAGAGCTGCTAAATACAGGGAAGGTTAAATGGAACAAAGCCTCTATAGAGACACATCAAATGTAATCAATATTGCCCCAGCATGACTTGGTGATGAAATTATAGAATGAATGAAGTAAGATTTTGACTTAATTCTTTTTGTCTGCTATCTTACAAAGGAGATGATTTTTAAAAGTAAGATAAATATAGTATCAATATAATGATTGTTTTTGAGTATTAATTGAATAACTCAAATAAAGCACTTAGCTTAGTGCCCAGCATATACCAAAGATAATAAATTTTATCAGTGGTGCTAGCACTACTGGTGACACAATTACTATCAGTTGCATTTGGGTGATTCCCCTTCTAAAGGTACTTTTGGGTCTAACATAGCCCTTCTAAGGGATAGGCAAGTACCACAGTAGACCCCGAATTAAGTAGACTGGGAAAGAGCTGAACCTGCCTTGTGAAATGGAAGAGGCATCACCATTTTATTTATAGTGTTTTAGGAAACTGGTGGTTAGTTTGGAAGAATATTGGTTAGTGAATAGGAATGTAACATTGAAATGAAGGAGACACTACGCAATTAAAAAGTGCTACAAAATGATAAGGCTTCAGATACTTTGTTACACTTCTTCCAAAGCAGTTTAGCACTTTATAATAATGTAGCTGATTGACACAGCCTAGCTATAGAACATTTGCTTTGCGTTATGCCTCCTCCTTCTTCCTCCTCCTGTCCAGATTGTTGTAGTGCTGCTTCCTCAGGGGTGACACAGTGTCTGGGGCCAGAGAGCATGGGTGTCTCACTCCGTGTCCCCCTGTTGTGTTAACCACTGACTGGGGCTCTGCTAGACACGGTTCTAGGACCTGGGAATATGAAGCTGCTAACAAACAAAATAATGAGTTTAAAATGAAGGAAGTGTCAATCTGGAAACTCAGGGACTCTTCCCGCGTGGCATTGCACTTTTTTTTTTATACTTTTTTAAGATGGATTTATTTTTATTGGAAAGCCAGATATACAGAGAGGAGGAGAGACAAAGATCTTCTGTCCGATGGTTCACTCCCCAAGTGGCCGCAATGGCTGGAGCTGAACCAATCCGAAGCCAGGAGCCAAGAAGCCAGGAACTCTTCCAGGTCTCCCATGCAGGTGCAGGGTCCCAAGGCTTTGGGCCATCCTCGACTGCTTTCCCAGGCCACAAGCAGGGAGCTGGATGGGAAGTGGGGCTACTGGGACTAGAACTGGCGTGCATATGGGATCCTGGCACGTGCAAGGCCTTTAACCACTACGCTATTGCACCAGGCCCAGCATTGCATTTTTTTATTATTATTATTATTATTATTATTATTATTATTTTATTGGAAAGGCAGATACACAGAGAGGAGAGACAGAGAGGAAGATCTTCCGTCCGATGATTCACTCCCCCAAGTGAGCGCAACGGGTCGATACTATGCCGATCCGAAGCCAGGAGCCTCTTCCAGGTCTCCCACAAGGGTGCAGGGTCCCAAAGCTCTGGGCCGTCCTCGACTGCTTTCCTGGGCCACAGGCAGGGAGCTGGATGGGAAGCAAGGCTGCCGGGATAGAACCGGCGCCCATCTGGGATCCCGGGCATGCAAGGCGAGGACCTTAACCACTGCGCCGGGCCCCCGGCATTGCATTTTAAATGTGTTGTTTTTCCATTCTTTTCCATAGATCATAGATGAAGAAGAAACCCAGTTTATGAGTAACTGCCCCGTTGCCGTGACTGAAAGCACTCCACGGAGGAGGACGAGGATCCAGGTGTTCTGGATTGCACCTCCAGCAGGAACCGGCTGTGTGATTCTCAAGTAAGTCCACGTGGCCAACTGACACCCCTGCCCTGAGCTGGTCGAAGACCTCATGATGCACCTGCAGAAAGGAAAGTGGCTTGACTGGGGCTTGGCCAGGCTGCATCATCTCCTTTTTCTGTTCCCTTGACTCTAAGATGGCGTGGGGATATCACAGGCCAGGTGCTAGCTACATGAAGAATGATTCCATCAGATGGGATAAGTCTCATAGCCACTCCCTGTCTTTAATTAGATGCTGATGATGCTAGAGAGCTTGCCAAGAAAACCCAGGTGAAGATAACCTGATTCCTTCCACCTGCAACTTAGCACGTGTTCTTAGGATCCCCAATTCCCAGCATGCTTAGGCTGACTTAAAAGTAACTTCCGTTGGCCACGGCCCCGGGCTCTGCTGGGAGCCATTGTCTTCCCTGCCGTCTGGTTCACTTCCTCTCCAGTTTCCTGGTCTTCTCAGGGGGTGTTGGAAGCTGCTAAGAGGTATTTACTGAAATATTTTTCTCTAAAAAGTAGCATGGTCTCAAATGTACATTTCCAAGTTCGTTTGACGGAGAACAGTGTTGTCTGAGCAGGAAAACAGTGTGTGTGGTTGGAGAAGTTTGTAAAATGCTGTACTGTTTCCTTTCTTGCAGAGTTATAACACACATTGGCATATTGAAGGTTTTGTAAATCTATACTAAAGAGAAAACTGTTTAACTTGGTTTCATCCAGAATGTTCCAGACTTAAGACCAAAGTTCTGGTGTTTTTTTGTTCGCTTTTGTTTTTTTCTTTTTGAGACATCCATTAATGTTTACTGAGGAAGCTAGTCTATTGTGGATGTAGGTAGAGGCCCGTTTGAAAGTGGTTTGAGGATTTTCGGATTTCAGCTAGGCGTGAGTGCCTAGTCGTGGGTAGCCGGCCAGGGCTCCAAGGGTCCTAAAAGTCATTTCTCGAAGAAGGTAGAGGCTGTCAAGTTCCCTGCCATTTTCTGCCTTTTTAAATCCTTGATTATGCCTTGCTCACTTGTCAAATATGGACATTTCAACAGAGTTAAGACCCTGGTTAGCTGAAGCCCACGCTTTAGGAGATGTTAATAAGGAAACTTCCAGCCGAGGCCTCCAGGCCCTGCAGTTTCTGCACGTCAGCTGAGCCTGGCTCATGGCTGCATCTGCCCATTGTCCAGACCACCTTGTCTTTGTCTGGCTTGGCTTTGCTGGTATCTGTCTAGGCATCACTTGTCCTTCCTTGATAAGCTCCCTGGCATTAATCTACATTGATGATTTAAACAAAGAAAAAATTCAGCTGTGAAATCTTTGAAATGAAATTTTCATCGTAAATAGGAGTTGGAAACATGGCTCTAGGATTCAGTAGACATGTGGAAGTGAAAAGCGGTGGAATGAGAACAGAGGTTTTGTGGAGCCAGGGGAGTTGGTGGTCCTCAGCAGCGTACGGCCGAGATTTCAAGCCCAGCAGAGGAGTGGGGAAGCCAAATGGTGAATAAAGGGCCACTTCGGCTCCAGCTGCAGGTTGGCGTGGGAAGCTGGAAATGGTTAATGATGAGCAGGGCGACAGGTGTGATTCATTTGAAGGGCATATTTGGCTTTCTTTGGCCTTGAGATGAAAGCTGGAGATTTAGGGAGACGGACACACACACACTCAGAGAGAGACGGAGAGAGAGAGAAGCTGTCAGTCGTTAACCAGGTCCTGATGGTCTGACCAAGGGCTACAGGGGCTGGGGCCCGAGTTCTGTCCTTGTTAACAAGGTCTGGGTGTCCTCTGGCTGTCTTTGGCTCTCATCCTGGAGCTTAACTTCTAATGGGAGTCGGATTACTCCAAAGACAGTTGGAAGACATCAGATCTCTGAGGAGGCTTCTGGCTCTACCTGCCCATATCCCCCTGGCCCAGATCTCTGCTTCTCTTTGGTTTATTATTCTCACAAACCAGAAGCATTTGATCTTCCTGGTAGAAGCCAGAAAGGCATCGCAGGCTTACCCACTAACAATCAACATATGTGAACATGTGCTTATCCATTAACAACGTATGCAGCTTGTTCACTCATTCCTTGAACAAAGGCAGTTGAGCTTCTATTTGCCCAGACCTACAGACAACCAAGGTTCTCACAGGTCAAATGGAGGAGAGAGGTGAGTCACACTCCATGTACCAGGAACCGGGCTGCCCATCCACATGTCTTTGTCCAACTTGAGCTTTAGGGAGAAAGACCTGCACTCCACAGAGGACAAACACGCCCCCAGGAAGGAGACAAATTTCTCAAAGTCACACATTTTTATTTTGTGTTCTTCCTTTTATTTTTCTGAAGCAATTATATACAAGCTACAACTGTTTAAGAGAAGCATTTTATAGGTAAAAAAAAGTACACTCAAATTTCATAAAAACGAGTGTTGGGGCACAGTACATGACACACTGCTTTGGCAGGCCTGTGTACTATATCAAAGCTGTGGAATCAGATGCCAGGTAACTCCAGACTGGTTCATCTAGCTTCCTGCTAATGCTCCTTAGAAGAGCAGCCAGTGATGGTCCAAGTGCTTGCATTCCTGCCACCCATAGTGGAGACCCAGACAGAGTTGCTGGCTTCAGTCTGACCAAGTCCTAGCTGTTGTGGGTATTTGGGGAGGTAACCAGTACATGGAAGATCTTTCCCTCTACTCTGTCACCCTACCTTTTAAATAGTTCTTTAAACAATAAACAGGTAGTGAGATACAGAAAAATATAGACCACAAAAACAGTGAAAAGTTTTGATATCTCCAACAAATCCTACAGCTTCCCACCTAAGGGCAGCAGTAAATATTTGGGCTCTACACTTTCAGGCTTTTCACTATGCATCTGTATTCCTAAGGACAAACCTAAGAGCATACAGTTTTATTCTTGCGGGAATTTAAGTTGGCACCTATGGTGTGTATGTCGTATCTCAAACTTAAATAGATTTTCATTAAACAAAGCATATTAAAGCAATATCAAAGTCAGTACATGTGAGTATATCCAGCTCTTTTTTTAAGTCTTTAATTTTTTTTTTTAGAGTTTTTATTGGAAAGTCAGTTATAGACAGAAGAGGAGATACAGAGAGGATGATCTCCCATCCATTGATTTACTCCCCAAGTGGCCACAATGGCAGAGCTGAACCAATCCAAGGCTGAAGCCAGGAGCTGCTTCTCAGTTTCCCACGCAGGTGCAGGGTCCCAAGGCTTTGGGTCGTCCTTGACTGCTTTCCCAGGGTCACAAACAGGGAGCTGGATGGGAAGCGGGGCTGCTGGGATTAGAACTGGTGCCCATATGAGATCCTGGCACATATAAGGCGAGGTCTTTAGCCACTTGGTTACTGCGCTGGGCCAAATCAGCTCTTTTGTTTTTAATAAAATGATCACATGTTCTCTAAAATATGACTTAACTATTAGTTGATGGACATTTAAATTATTTCAAATTTTTATAAATAACGCTGTGATTATTTCACTTGTACTTGTCTTTGAACAATTATAAATCCATATTGGATGTCAAGAAATGAGATCGTAAGGGCTGCACATTTACCGTGTTAATAGTCCTTGCCAGAGTTCTCTCCAAAAAGCTTGCCAGCTGAGATATTCCGACTATAAACAGGAGAGCCTGAATTCTACTCAACAGTGCTTGCTGTTATCAGTCTTTAAGATTCTGACAATGTGGCAGGTAAAAATGGTATCTTCTGTTTATTCTTCTCTTAACATTCTGAAAAGTGTGAAGCAGTATAAAAATGTTCCATTCACAGTATATGGCACATTCATAATCTTGTTTTTCCAATGTGTCTTTAAAATTTATTTTAAATATTTAATTTTATCTTTAAAAATTGGCTTTTTAAGAATTTTGTTTCATGTATTTCAGATATACATATTTAACAATTTGCTGCTTCCTTCCAACGAGTTTTGCTTTTACATGTAAATACAAAACTGTTTTCATAAAAAATGTATCCCTGAAACTGATTTTTAGTCCCAACCATAACATTTTATCATAAATTTCAAATATTACCCACTACCATTTTTTGAAGACAAAATAGAGAGAGTGCGTGAGCGAGAGCGAGCTGCATCCACTGGTTTGTTTCCCCAGTGCCCACAATGACCAGGCTGGACTAGGTCAAGGTGGGGAGACAGGAACGTTCTCCGTATTTCCTGTGTAAGGGAACTCAATTAGTTGAATCATCGTGGCTGTCTCATGGAGTTCACATTAGCATGGTGTTCACCCGACAATTGAACCTAGGTGTTCCAATTCAGGATGCTAAGTGAAATGCCTGCCCTTCTACCTTTATTTAAAATTTGCTTATGGATGTCTGATCATACAAAAATTTTAAATCTTGATTCAAGCAAATACATCCATTTTTCTCTTATGGATTTTGATTTTTGTGTTTCCATTCAAAACTAGTTTTCCTAAACACAATGTTTATAATTTTTTGTATTTTTAACATTTTTCTATATTTTCAGATAAATTTAGATCCATAACTTTCCTGAGATCTAATTTTCTAGATGGTAACACATCAGTAAGCTTTAACAAAAAATAAATGGCATGCTCAAAATAAGGTACCAATGGAAACCTCAATCAGGTGATCCATTTGCAGTGGAGTGAGCAAGAGAGGCTCTGTGTTTCTCAGACCTGAGATAGCAAGTTGAGGGGGTAGAGAGGATGTGGTGGAAGGGACCACCACCTTACAGAAACTGAGAGCTTTGTTTAAGGAAACCATTTGGTCTAAGCACCTGGCCGCAGAGTCCCAGCTGTATTCCTTTCTGATTGCCTGAGAGTTCTCCCCTTGGACTTGACTCTTAACTACAAGGACAGTAAAGCATGCTGATGTGATCTATACCAGATGACCCACTCAAACACCTGAGTGTCTGGAAGAGGAAACAAAAGATACTCAAAATCATGGGAAATCAAAATCTACATGATCATTTTCTAAATGGAAAGTGAGTTCTCTCCCATGTATTTACCAAATTGTTTATTTCTCCCCACAGAGGTGAAATGCTACTTCATCAAACACAGAATTTTTTGTAGA